TCCTTTTGGAACTAACATTGATATTGAATATTTATTTTGACTTGATTATTTAGGAAAGACTTTAGGTAGATCAAACCTAATAAGATAAAAGGTAACTTTGACCGAAAAGATTACCCGCTTTAATAATCTCAACATTCTTTTGGAATTTGAATGCTTTTAAACTAATTGTTTAGCAACTAATGTTTCTTCCGTTTTGCATACCCTTTTCTGATGAGTTGCGTTTGTTTTGAGCATTGAAAGAATTTGAATGAGTATAAACGGAAACAACCTTTTTGGAAAGAATTTTCAAACATATCACTTAGGCAACTTGACATCTGAATTTTCAAAACAAAAGAAGCAATGGTGCAATACACAGTCGTATTCGATTTTACAAGAACTAGACCAAACAACCTTTGGAAAATATAATAATTTCTGCCAAAACAGCCTTCAAATAAATAAAAAAGGTACACCCATTTTGATGTATATGAAACGTTAACATTTATGTATATTTTTTGAAACAATCCCTTACTTTTCAAGACATATCACATGGGTTTTTAAACGGGTATTACTATTTCTAAAGGGGATATAAATCTTTTTCTCAAAACAAAAGAAAATGATCTTTCAAATGAGAAGTAAAATGCTTCCTCATTCATTCAAGACTTTCATAGAGGCTTACTTAGCAACTTGAATAATTAATCAACTAGAATATAAGCAATTCTTCCCCGTATCTAGCTTAAGTTTAAGGAAGTATCTTAGGTGGTTTTTAAGAGATGCCTAATAGTTTTCCCTTATAACAACTAGAACCCTTACTTAGATTCTCACCAGTTTAGTAGACCTTTAAGATAATGTTCTTTATAGATTTATAGGTACGCTAGTATACCATTAAATATTTAGTGGCAACTCTTCTTCATCAACTTCAGGAAAATCACAAGTTTTATTTAGTTTTAAACTGTGCAAAATAGGGTGCAACACCTATCTCCGGGAAGCTACATGGCATCTAGAAAACTATTCTTCATTCTCTCCTTATCGTGCGACCTTCTTTCAGCTTGAAGCCTGTATCTTCGATTTATTCCCATTTGTCCGTATGAGATGTTGAGAACTCAATATCAATGTGCACCGACAACTTGTGATTTTGTGGACGGGATGCGAAGAGCTATCGATGCTTGAACATCGTCTCGATATGATGTATAGTTTTGAGATATGGAGGTGTTGGTGGATCTTTCAGTTGTTTATTTGTGAGATGAAGTGGATCCTTATATCCTGTTGGTGAGTGTAGACTCGGAAAGATTAATTGATTGCATAGTGGTTGTGACCATGTTAAGGTCATAGAGAGATGTCGGTTGGAGGCTAAGCATGTGATTTATCTCCTGCAAGAAGGTTTGAGGTTGCATGTGATTCTTCTGAGGGATTCTATGAAGATTTTTCCTTCCACCCAGTAGGATGTATGTGCTATGATCAGAGTTCAGATCGCTTGAAGAAGTTTGCACAACTATCACAAGGATGAGTATGCACTTGGAAAAGTTTTTGGAGTGCTTTTGACTAGTGTTACATGAACTTATGAAGTACTCAGCTAGATAACGGCCCGATGTCTTGGAAAGATAAGGAAAAAGAAGGATTGTTAGTTATTATATGATGTGTTTGTGGCTCCACGCCAAGTGGGGGAGCCTACTATCAACGATCGGGTCATTTGGGCATGTGTTGTTGTAGTCTTGGACTTGGATGCACTGTGTATTGGATGTAATATGAGAAAGGTGTCATCGAGGATGCTTTGTGCTAGAGACTCGCTATATGCATGATGTATTACACCTTATGGATATATGGGGGGTTACAGAGTGGTTTAGGTTTGATATTCATTGTGGGTGTAGGGCGCAAGGAAGAGGGATTTCTCGGTTGCTTCTTTTGAGGTATTCGTGTGCTAGCAAAATGCTAGTCGCTCAACATATTTGGGTTGTGCATTCGAGACATGGTTAGAGTGAGAGACATTCGATAATGGTTCTAGTGGGTTTCGAAGAGTTCATAAAGGTTTGACCACAGCTAGAGGTTGACATCTTCTACGAGTATAGAAAGGTAGTTCCGTGTAGTGATGTTCTCCTGGATTGAGTTAAATGGAAGGTTCTTGGTTAATCGAGTGTATATCCTACTTGTGATTTGGAATTGATTATGAGATTCTCGCACCTTCTTGTGTTAGCATGATAGATGCGACATGCCATGTGGGATTGAGATTGTATGGGCAAGGTTGAGGTTCAACCTTTAAAGGAAGGTTACGAGTTTTAGACAACATGGGAGATTTTGGATGTTTTTAGAGGATGCTAGCACTATCTTGTATCGGTTGAGAAGAGTGTATGTGTTATGAAAGGCACATTGTGTATTGATTCGTTGTAATGACCCGACAAGTTGTTTTGTATATTTGAGCCTTGTTTCCCCTTTTGAAGCATCACGTATGTGTATTTGTAGTTTTATGACTTGTGAGGATGGTTGGTTGGTTTGCTAAGGTTCTGGATTGATTTGGAATGCTTGGTTCGTAGTTTGGAAACATAAGTTGGAAATATTGACCGAGGTTTGACTTTTGTGAAGATGACCTCGGAACGGTATTTTGATGATTCCAATAGGTTCATATGGCGATTTTGGACTTAGGCGTATGTCCGGAGTTGGATTTGGAGGTCCCTAGGTTGATTTGGCTCTTTTTGTTGAAAATTAGCAATTTGAAGGTTTAGAAATTTCCTAAAGTTTGATCATAGGTTGACTTTGCGACTATCAAGTTTAGATTTTGGTTTCAGGACATGAAATAGGTTCTCTGTGTCATTTGTGACTTGTATGAAAAGTTTGGTGTCACCGAGTTGGTTTGATAGGATTCAGACGCTTAATTATGTTTTTAGCGATTCTTGAATCTCATTTTTGAATTTTATGTGTTTTGGTGTCTGATTCATGGTAACAAATATAATTATGGTGTCTTGAGATTGCAAGCGAGTTCGTACGATATTTCAAGATTTGTGTGTATGTTCAGTGTGGAGCCCAGAGGCTCGAAAGAGTTTCAGACGAGTTTCGGATCATTTGAGTTAAGTTTCAGATTTGCTGGTTCATGGCTGGTGCTCAGGTCTCGCAAATGCGAGATCATGTTTGCATTTGCGAGGTGTGCATTGCATTTACGATTTGTTGCTTGAGTGGATTGGCTTCGCATTTGCGAAGCCAGTGTTGAAATTGCTGATGTTGGCAGGGATGATAGGCTTCCCATTTGCGATGCCTGGATAGTATTTGCGATGGGGAACTGGGGCTGGAGCAGGCCGCAATTGCGATCTTCTTTCTACATTTGTGATGCTTGCCTGGTTTGCATTTGCATACATTATGTNGTTTGGGAAAATATGACATCTTTGTTTGAATTTGTACTCTTGGCAGAAGTGAAAGTTGTATAAGATATTGTTAAGTACACATGGTCAGCTTAATCAGAATATCAATGTAAATCATTTCACATAAATTGGGATAGAGAGTATCTGTTTTTTGTAATTCAAGGTGATACATGTTCTTGTGCAGGTCCTCAATCTTGTGACGGTAGCACACTATCGAAAAGTTATAGCTGTGTAGTTTACTTGTATTATGTGAATGTCAAATAAATTCTTGGTGACCTGGTCTCAGCATGCCTTGAAATGTGTGTGCTAGTGAGCTGTCCGACAGAGCTGTGTTCTTTCACATTGTAACTGCATGTAGTATGCTTTTCCATATCATTGAGACAACTCAGGCCATATTTTCCAGGCTGTCATTCGACTTCACATAGAAGCAATACTTGATTTTAGAGATGGTTAGACTATATGAGCGAGTGAGAAAAGCTTGCTATCTTAGTCATAAAAAAAGGACAAGAAGAAAAAAGAGAAAGCATGGTATCTTTTCCCGAAATGGAACTACATTTTTCTTTGAACTTTTTTGTTAGGTGCAATTTTCAGATGACATGGTAAACAAGTTTAATTATTGATGCATGCTCAAAATTTTTAGCTTAACTGCACAAATGACAATTACATGGAATAGGCTGACCTAATAACTGATCGCTGGTGATCAGAATTTCAACCTGAATAAAGAACCTCAATAATTGAGAATCTATGAAGAAAGTGTAGTTTAAATCACATGTCGTTGCCTCTTTTGCTTAATTCGAATTTCTACCTTTCTACTTCTAGGTTTTCTTTTTGCTTTAACTTATCAACAATAAAATTTGTTTATTTTTTTCTTTGTACTGTGGAAGGAAACACCTTATTTGATTGTACAGATGCATCTGCAATAATCCTACTTTTTATTTTCTATTTGATGTGTTAGGTGACTAAAGAATGCTTGGACAAGGCAATATCAATATGTGCACCAGGAGTAGAATTCAATAAAATTGGCAAGACTATACAATAAGACATCTGCCTAAATCTTCTACATCATTTTTGTTCTTGTGCATCTTGGTCTTCTAAATATTAGAAAGATTTGTCTCGACATGAAGGTCTATTTGGCATGAAAACCGATGACTGGCATTGTTTGGTTGTTTATTTGAGGGATAGGACATGTATATCAGCAGGGGTAGAGCTAGCCTTTCGAACCCTTATATTTGTCTTAAGAAATCTATTGAATATGTACAAATTATTAATTTAGAACTGGTGACTTAAAAAGACTCAAATCCCGGACCCATGAACTTAAAATTCTGGCTTCTCCTCTGTATATTAGATAATTGTCGTAAATTCTTAGAACGCAGTTATGATTAGTCATAATATAGACTCTTATAAAAAATTAATCTTAATATAGACCAATATATTGCGGAATCCTGATAGTTATTGGGCTCACTGGAAGAGAACTTATTACTTTTTTGTTACCAGCAGGTTCTCAATGTGATACTATTTGAGAAATCATTTGAATTTTCTCTCTCTTTTCCTTTAGTCATTAATGTTACTGGCCTGGTCATGTTGAAATGGAACCTCTATTTTCAGTTAGTGGAAGGTCTATAATGTGTTGATATATGTTGCCATCAAATGTTAGTATACCTTGTGGAATTGCACGTCATGAGGAACTTATTTGTTCCATATAATGGATATGCAGACCTCTCACAACAAGTGCAAGTGGCAATGGAGAACATGCTGAAGATGATAGGGTAAGCTGATTAGCACTGAGACTCAAGGAAGTATATTGTTTATCTGCATAGCGGCATGAAGAAATGGGCAAATATTTACATTAGCTATGAAAACTTGGACTTATACTGTCAATATTTGCCTATTCAGTCTATTGTCATATGTTCTTGGCAAAACAAATGTACATGTTTTCAATGTCAACCAGGATTTTGTATAGTTCTCCTTTGAAGCTATTGGTTTTCATATTTCACTCTTCCATCATAGTCTTTCTTGCATTTTTATTCTAACTGCTTGTTCTTTCTTGTAACTATTAGTTAGAGCTATAGACTGTAACCATTCATTTCATTGCATCTACAAATATTTCTTTCTCACTTTCTCTCTGTCTATCTGCTTGTTCTGTATATACCCTTTCATATTTTTATCACTTTCTACAGTGAAATTGATCAGAGCTCTACTGAAGTAACAGAAGACATGGAGAAGTGCAAGGACTCTGCTCTTGAGAGGAGGAAAACTTTAGAGGAACAGAAGGATCATTTTCAAAGAGCTGCTTATGCTATTTTGAACATGCAGAATAACCAGGAGAGCGGCTAGAACTTGTATCAGTGATCCCTTGATCTCTGTTTCTCATAGCGTGATTGTGATTTCAACTCATGCATTAAGTAAACTTTGTTCTGGACATCCAGAGGTGTTCTAAAGGCAATTGTAGTTGAACTTTGCCTCCATCGCCTTCTTCACCCAGGAACAAATTGTTATTATTTGATATGTTGTTCTTTATTAGTAGCTTGCATGAACATTTAATGTCCAAATTTGGGTCTAGGTAATGTGTTTATGTAGAAGAGCTTGGCTCATGACTAGCATCTTGTATGTCCATTATTTTCTTTTTCTTTTTTGATCAATTTATTTAGTCTAGGCATTCCAGATGAAAGATAATGACTTTATTTATCCTCTTTTGTAGGTGGAGTAGATCAAGAAATAGAAGATGAAGGCAATAAAGATCTGGACCTTACTTAAAATGAATTTTTAATTGTTATAGATGAATGTTCTAGGAACCTTTTGTTGTCAACATTTTGAAACTTACTATCTTGATATGTATTAAACTTATGCACTTGGGGTAGAACATTTACTTTTATGGGTATTATTAGCCTGTTGGACAAGTTATAATATTAATAATTTCATTTTGCGATTTATTTAAAATTTAGTGTTATTATAATTTATTATATATATATATATATTACAATAGGAGCTATATTTCTGTTTTATCTGAACTGTTACAATAGCCTACCATAACCGTTGCAATAGGAAACAAATGGCGTTCCCTTAGAATGTAAACCGTTCCAATAGATCCAACAAACCGTTCCAATAGATCCAGTTAACCGTTCCAAATGCCCTCTAAACCGTTCCAATAGGTATTTAAAACCGTAGCGATACAAAAACAACCGTTACAATAGCTTAAAGAGACCGTTGTTATATCCATAAATAATCGTAACAATAGCTTACGAAAGTGTTGCATTAGATAATATGGTAACGGTTATGAGCCGTTGCACACACATTATAGTAACGGTTTTAAACCGTCCCAATTGGAAGGAATAATCGTTCCAATAGAGAAAAGGAAAACCGTTGCGATAGACGT